TTGGAGGTTGACCTCTTTTTCTCTTTGGAGGTTTCTGGTGAAGCAGGGGAAGGGAGCTTCCATCCGTTGGGTTTGGTGGAAGATTTTTGTCTCAGATCCTTGAGGATTCTCCCCTATAGAAGCTACTTCTTGAAGTGGGATGGATAGCATTCCTTATGGTAAGAATTACCTCTGCAGTTTCAGCCATCATTCCATGTTCTTCCCCTTCCAGCACCCTTTTGAGTCTAGCTGCACTTTCGATAGGGTCTCCACAATTAACGTACTGAATTGTTACTTCTTGCAGTTCTTCCATTACTTGTGCCACTATTGGTCCTCGAGGAGGTGGTGTCACAGCATCCTGGTCCAAATTTCCCACCAGCGGAGACTGGTTTGATCTCGTATGTTCCAATACGTCTGAGGTAATGTACTTTGAGTTTAAACTTTTTTCTCTCCTGATTTGGTTTGGTAGTATCCGAGATCGAGGTACGTAGTGGTCACTGTTATGGGTCTGATCTCTTTGCATGTGTTGAGATGTTCTTTTCGGAGATGAACGGTGTCGACCCGAGGAGTATCTGTTTTGTTGGTATTGGTGAGAATTTAAATCACATTAGAGAATAAATTATATATTACTTTGATTTTGGTTGGATTTTTAATACTTTTGATCGCATTCGTTCAGGTTCCAGACAAAACTATTATAACCGAATTATAAATAACTAATTGCTTTTCAAACAAAAAAAAAAGATAATATTCTATTTTTACTATATATATATATATATATATTATTTGAATTTTGGTTAGGTTGGTTAATTTTGTTAATCTTCATTTTGTTTAATACCATTTAGATTTTGTTCAATTCGAGATCAGGTAATTCGTACAGACAGTTTTCTTCTAGATTAGTATGGTAGTCATTCTTTCCGTTACTCTGATTTAGAATTCTTCTAGATCCATAGCATTTGCAATAGTGGTCTATATGGTGAGAGGCATCCTTATATTTTGTGTTTTTCTGGTTTGCATTTTCTACTAAAGCTATAGTATTTACTGTCGATCTAGGTGCAAAATTTTCTAAGTTAATTGAGTATATGAATTAAGTGTCAACATAATTTGTAACAAGTGTATTCATATAATGTTTCAATTAATTAAATGAGTATACGTATTAAGTCGTTATTTTTTAAAAACATCAAATCTTATTTTAATTTAGAACCTCCAAAGAATCTTTTAATATGAGAAAATGATTTTAGGTGAAGACATGTGAGTTTTAACACATAAGACGTTGACTAGTGCTTAGGAGGACATGTGAACTTATATGGACCATGTGACCTTGAGCCTCAATAATTCGAAATGTTAAAGTATTATCATCTCTTCTACTTCTTTCTTGTTAGATTTCAAAATTCTGTAAATATTTACTATTTATTATCGCATTTCATGAATTTAGGCTTTTTATCGCATACTAAATGTCGAACTATATATTTTGATGATGAATTTGGTATACAATTCTATGAATAAATATTAGAGTGATTTTGGTTAATATTACTGGTTGACTCATAATTTATAACTGGCCATTTTGTGGTTTTGAAATATAACAAGATCAGAGAATATAAAACACAATTTCATGTCAAATCACTTAGTATCATATCGCCTACTTTTCTTGTACTTCGAAAAACAAATACGTAGTTTACCATCCTTAACATATATATTTTTTTAATATTCTTCTTGGCACTTTTTATTATTACAAAATTCTATCAATTAGAATAATATATCATGCATTATTATATGTTATTGCACCAATTCTCTCAAAAATAATAATATACCCTGATTTTCAACTACTCTTGCGGAACCAAAGAGAAAAAAACCTTTTTACCGAAGAAAAACGCCAAAAGGGAATTTCCTTCACATTATGTGTATGGCCATAACTTAGGCTTATCTATCTATCTCTCGTGAGGAAAGCAAACTGCTCGTGTCAATGCTTTTGTAATTCGTCTTTTCTTTTGTATTCTCTTCAGAAAAGTCATTTTCATTACGCACTACAAATGATTCTGCTACACTATAATATAAATATACCAGTTTGCTAATAATTTAGCATTTCAGCTTCAGATCGATTACCATTGATCTATTTAGTTTGGGTTGGCTAACTTTTTGATTTTTTTTTTGTTCAAAAAAAACACATTTTGATTTTTTTCCATCTCTATAGTTTTCACTTTTTCGGATGGGAGGTTTATTATTCTTAAAAATTCTTAGTATTTGTCTGCTTTTTTATGTGTGTTTTTGTTCCCTTGTAATATTTTTTTGTTAAAGCATATAATACCAATTAAAATTATCTTGAGTTAACCATGTTCAAATTGGTTAATTCTTAAAGAAGATATTCTAAGACTAAGTACATTTTTGGTAAATATATAGTCGAATAAAGTTAAATAATAAATCAAATACCGATATATCTTTAGAAATAGATCTACACTCACACATTGTGACATTTTCGTCATGGATAATTATCGGAAAAAATGTCGATTAGTACCTCAACACTATCATCTGGTACCAATAAATACCCAAACAATTTTGATAGGTTAATCAGTACCTGAACTTATTAAAATCGGTAAATACATACCTCAATAATATTTTTTGGCCAATTAGTACATTGACTTTCTCTCTGTTAGTCAATCCGTTAATTTGCAAACGGAATCTGACTCAGATGCCACGGTGGATGCTGAGTTCGAATGAAACCAATACGACGTCATTTAAAGTTAAAAATCAGGAAAAAAAGGCAAAAACGACGTCGTTTTAAATTTACTATACATTAAAAAAATCAAAATTGAAATTTTCGATTTGATTTTCCGAAAGTGTTTGAATCAAAATCAAAACCAAAATTTCAAACCTAAACCTACCATGAATCTCCGAAGAAGCGTTAGCATTCGACGATGAAGTCATTCCGATTTGATTTTGAACACCACCCAAATCCTAACTATCGATGTTTTTCTCCTACGAAAGAAGATATAGATGGTGTATTTTTTTTTAATGGATAATAAATTTAAAATGACGTCGTTTTTGTCTTTTTCCAGATTTTTAACCTTAAACGGCGTCGTATTGGTTTCATTCGAATAGAGCATCCACGGTGGTATCCAAGTTGGATTCCATTTGCAAGTTAACAGGTTTGACTAACAGACAGAAAGTCAATGTACTTATTGGCCACAAAAATATTGTTGAGGTATGTATTTATCGATTTTAATAAGTTCAAGTACTGATTAACCTATCAAAATTGTTTGGGTATTTATTGGTACCAGATGATGGTGTTGAGATACTAATCGGCCTTTTTCCCGATAATTATCCTAATCGACAACGCCCTCTTTCACGTTTTGAGATGTAGTTTAAACTTGAGTTTCCGAACTTTATTAGAGTGCCCTTTGTTATGCATAAGTCTCGTAAAACTTTGTCGAGTGAGTCATATTACATATCACCACAAAAAACTCATGATTTATTGATAGTAGTTGTTTAGGACCCATTTTACCGTCAAATTTTTTTTTTTGTATTTTTCTGGGATAAATGCTTTGTTTTTCAACCCAAAAAATGTGTTTGTTTAATGTTTTGTATGCCAATTATGTTTGATTTTTCATATATAGCCGTTTTACATGGCAATAAAACAAAGTGATGCATTTTTAACATTAAAGTCGCAAACACGCTCAATTTTGGAATTTAGAGATTTCACAGTTGAACTCGAATCCAAAGTCTTCAAAACAGAGCAAGAAAAAAAATTTGTGGGAGTTATTTGTTTATGGATCTTAATGATTAAAAATTTAAACAAAATCATGTGTTATATGATCATAGATTCTAAAATCCTGATAATTATGTGTTATTTGTTCTATGATTTTTGAATACGAGTTCAAATCACATGTTTAAATACTAAAGATTTACGTTTAGATTTTATTTTACATTGGATTTTAATAAATTTGAAAAAAAATTCCAAAGTTAAACGTAGACTTTAATTCGAGGATAAACCTACAAATTTACAAATATTTATGAAAAATCATATGGTTGATTTTGAAATCAGTATATTGTACAAGTACTTCTAAATCCTGTATAAAATTCCAAAATTAAAATACACAATCGAATAACATTCTTTTAGTAAACTTCGATGAAATCCAACATGGTCGAAAAGAAAGACACCGGATTTATGATTTGAACGAATCCTAAGTACATCATGATCATAGAACCGGATAACCGCTAATCGCCAACCAAGAATTAAGGACTGCCGGAATAAAGCAGCATGTTTTCGAACGACCGTCAATGAGGGGCTGCTAGAGTCAAATTTGGCTTGTTTTTGTTGTCTTACACTTTTTTTTGTTAAAGTTATTACCTCATATACTTGCCAATTCAAAGTTGCGTCATATTGCACTAATGGATTATGACAGAAAAAAAAAAAAGAATGGAAGTAACACTAAATAAGAAATGGAATATGAAAAAAAAAAAATCGAATATGAGAAATTAAAACATAGTACATACGGACTTATCATATCATCTTTAGAAATAGACAACAAAGTCAGAAGATTAAAAAGTTAGGATACGTAAATAAAGGGCTAAGTACGTACGGACTTCCGTGATATATAGAATACCTAGATATAGAGTTTTTTAATTATATATATTAATTGCGAGAATTAGTATAATGTACTTAGCTATTATAATTTTGCATATTGCTTAAAAGACACGTAATGTACTTAGCTATTATAATTTCATGTTTCCATTTTTTATGAATTTTTAACAGTTAATGAATCTATAAAAATGCAAATCTTTTGATATATGCTATCATTTATCCAATCAGGTTAATCAGAATTCTACTACGTATGCTATCTTTTGATATATGCTATCATTTATACAATCCGGTTAATCAGAATTCTACTACGTATCAGTCCATACATATCTGGCGTATATATATATATATATATATATATATATATATACATAAAGAAGTACTACACATGAATTCGTATCCTAACCTATATTAATACATAAAGAGGAGAATATTCTCCTCTCCCCTCCTTTCTCATAAACTGGACAGAGCTCTTGCAAAAATGAAAAACGAAAGTCGTAGCAACCACTACCATCATCCATCATCATCATTGAATCCAAAATCTCCCACAAGCCAGGAGCAGCACCAGCATGGTCTAATTTCATTGAATGCTATTATCATCATTGTCATCTTCATCATCTCCCTTTTTATAATCTTCTCTATTCTCCTCATAATCCTCTTACTCTATCGACTTAAATCCGTAAGAGACAAAGCACATCACTTAGCTTGCAAAGAAAGCTGCAGCATCATCAACAACGGTGGACCTTCCACTAGCTACAGCTACACTTCTAGCCCTGGTAAAACATTATTTATTTTCTTTTATATAAATAGAACAAATTCAGGACCGAAACTCAAAGTAATCTCCAAAACCTATAGAAAACGGTATTTGTACCATTTAAAGTATCTACAATGGCCAAGAAGAAATTACATCAATATTTATCGATGATAAAACTTGAATTCTCTATAGGCTCCAACAAACCACTAGACCACACGCTCTTGGTTATTAATTATATAATTTTTCGGTCCCTAATGCCTAATCTTTTATTTCGAAATCTACATTTTTTTGGTTAGATGGCATCAAGAGCGATTGTCTATACTCAAGAAACCCGACATCGTTCAGACAATTACCCCCACATACAAAGAGTTGCAGGAAAAGCCGAGCAGAAGGAGTAGAAGTTTATGCATACAAAGAATTAGAGATTGCAACTAACAATTTTAGCGAAGGGAAAAAAATTGGAAGCGGCGGATATGGAGATGTGTACAAAGGAGTTTTGAGTGATGGAAGTGTTGCGGCCATTAAAAAGCTTCATATGATTGATAATGGTAGTAACCAAAAGCATGAAGAGCGCTCCTTTAGGCTTGAGGTTAGTAGTTCCCTCTTCATTTATTGTCTTTCTTTGTTTCTTATCTACTTTTTGTGCTTATTTATTGTTTTCATGTCATCAACAAATGGAATATACATTATCTTATGTATGTTAAATTTTTTTTACAATATATAATATCTTTATATATATTTTGAATCCCGTCATATAGATAAATGTCTCTTTACTTCGGTTAAGTGAGCCACGAGGCGCCGTATCACGGATACCTCTAAGGTTCTACTAATAAATATAACTTTATGATGGTTTTTTAATAAACAACATCGTGGGTATTGTTAAGTGTTTTGTAATATATGTTTTTCTAACAGTTAAAGAATATATGAAAAATGTTACGTTAATTGACTTTTGTTTTATTAAGAACATCCATTATGTGGATTTTAAATTCAGATGGTAGTACAGCAATTGAACTATCACAAACCACTGAACTACATATTATGGGTTTTTTGTTTTTGTTGAAATGGTTGTCTTCTGTTGGGTATACGGTGCTATCAATAAAGTATAGCTTAGTGATTCTCTCATGAAATACTACCAATAAACTATAATAATTCTCTCGTGACATTATTGAATAGATCATCATTGCGTCTTCAAAACTGACTCGTTTAAAAGCATGATAATAAGTAGTTTCAAAGCCTTATCAGATATAATAAATACAATTACATGTTCAATATGCAAGTTTGTATTTTGGTGGAGTATAATAATTTCATGTAAATATATATATATATATATATATATATATCTTATTGTGCAGGTTGATCTTCTTAGTCGATTACAATGCCCATATTTGGTGGATTTAATTGGATACTGTGCTGATCAAAACCATAGGATCCTGATATTTGAATATATGCCCAATGGTACACTCGAGCATCATCTCCACGATCATAGTTGCAAGAATTTAAAGGATCAATCTCAACCATTGGATTGGGGAACCCGGCTTAGGATCGCCCTTGATTGCGCCCGAGCCCTCGAGTTTCTCCACGAAAATACAGTCACTAGTGTGATACACCGGAATTTCAAATGTACCAACATTTTATTGGATCAAGATAACCGAGCTAAAGTTTCAGATTTCGGATTGGCAAAGACTGGTTCTGATAAACTAAACGGTCAGATTTCAACTAGGGTGCTTGGGACCACAGGATATCTTGCCCCGGAGTAAGTAACGCTTCACACTGTTGACATATTTTTGAAATAAATAGTTCACAATTCTTTTTTGTAACCAATATAACCACATACGTACCATATGTCACCTACAAATATGGACTATGGTGTGGTTTTTTTTCGATCGGTAATGTGCTAATTATTCTGATTATTTCAAACGATCTTAAAAGTCATTAACAAATTTGATTTTATTGGATTGACATAGGTACGCTTCTACCGGAAAGCTTACCACAAAATCAGATGTTTACAGTTATGGAATAGTGCTATTACAACTCTTAACGGGTCGTACACCGATAGATTCCAGGCGTCCGCCAGGACAAGATGTCCTTATTTCTTGGGTAAGTAAACCATAACTTATCTTCAATATTAATATTACAAATTTGATATATAGGCTTCCTTGAAAACATGTATAGAAAAGTCTCAATTTGACCAATAGTCAAATGTGGCATATATTTGCAGGCTCTTCCAAGGCTAACCAACAGAGAGAAAGTTAGTGAAATGGTCGATCCAACCATTCAAGGCCAATACTCACAGAAAGATCTTATACAGGTTTGATTTCATCAACGTTTTCTTTCTTTTGCATTGTGGAGTACCGAGGTTTTTTGGGACATTTCTGTAAGATTAAAAATAAAGCGGCTTTTTGACAAACATATAACGTCGTATTTAGATTCCGAACTAGAAGGGATTTTTATATATAATTGGGTAGATTTTGGATTATAGCTCACATAATATCAGAGACCTGCAAATGACCGAATTTCATGCCACTTAAAGAGTCTAATGTGGTTAACTTGTATGCACAATGGATATGATTCGACCCTTAGTATATATAGATC